CCATAAACCGTGAATAAGCAAGAGTGCTGGTGGATATTTATCAATGTTATTTTTCAAAACCATTCAGACTGTTTCTCATTATTCTCTAAATAATGAGAAACTAATTTAAAGCAAGTGATATAAATTAAGATTTGTTACATTTATGTATCTTACTGGCACACGTGACTTGGCTTCTAGAATGTATTCAAATATTTTGAATTTTTTATAGGTTCGCCTTAATGCAGAAGAATGTGCTGATGTTTTGAAGCGTTGGGTGGATCACCTTTGTTCCCCACAAATCAATCAAAAATCCAAGGCAATCCTTGTTCTGCTTTCTCTGGGTTGTTTCATGAGAGTGGCTGAGATGTTACATAGGTCAGTTCATGTATTCTGTTTACTTAAAAACATGAGCCACTTCTCTGTATACTTTGAATTTAAAAAAAAATAACAATAAAAAATACAATATCAACTAGATACAACCTCCTGAAAGTCAAAGCAGAAGTCATTTAAAAGGTCTGTCTGAATAAAGATGCCTGTTTGTTAATTCAAATATATATGTGTTTTCAGAGAAAAAGTATATTCTATAAAGAATCTGATTTAGGATGCCCAACTATCTGTGAATTAGTCTGAGTGAATTCAGTGTATGAATATGACATTAAGTGTTCGGTTACAATATCAAAAGTGATACCTTGTTTATGTTGCTATACAACAAAAATAATTGTTACATCATTAAGTAAGTGGAATGAGTTGCTAGTATTGTAATTTTGCATCAAAGGTGCCATTTTATCTGTTGTATATATCCGAAAAAGTTTTTCTGCACAGTGAAAAAAAAATTGTCTAACAAAATTTTTGTGTTATTCCACAATACTTTATTCTTGTTTTCAACAGCATGAGGCATTTTGATCGAGCTGCACTGTTTCTTGAGGCCTGTCTTAAGTATGGCACTATTGAAGTTAATGAAGATGCAAATATCCTTTTTTAAAATTATGCACAAATTCAAGCATAGAAATCTACTAATAGTGGCATTCTTTATTAGGTGTTGTGCCTGTAAACCTTTTTAAAACATTTTTAAAATATATTTTATTGATTTTTTAATATAAACATCTTTATATTTGGTAAGCAGCGTGTTGTCTGGGTTTATATTTACAAAGTAATCACTAATGGTTAATTTCGGTTATTCTGAAATCCACATAATAACTTTGCTTGATTTTCTCTTCTTTCAATAATATTCTCTTTGCAACCTAAATTAATACAATTCTTATTAATTTGATAGGTAACAATTAAATATAAAGGTTTTTCTAAAATTTCTACCAATAATAATCTCATGAATATCATGCTTCTTTTCTATATGGTCATCTTGGTTGCTTCGTCACAAATCCTGTTTATAATTTTTATTTAAATTTATTTTCCCTGTAATGTTCAAAATATTTCTACTGGTTAAAATTTTCCCAGAATTAATTACCTTAAGAGTATTTAAATCTATTTTCATATCTTAAAAAATAAGTAAGAAAAAGACACAAAAGAAAGACATAGAAAAAGAAAAGACGTGAAAGAGAAAAAGAAAAAGAGAAAAAGGAGGAAAAAAAGAAAACAATATATTACTTAAAATATGTATTTCTCTTGAACTAGTATACACTTATTTCCAAATTCTTTCTATTCTTTTTACCAATAATTAAACCGATGTTTAATCTTTAAATGTTCCATTTAATAAATCCAATCATATAATCTTTTAACTCTATTCAAAACATTTTTCCCATTTTTAGTTATCCATTGGAATTTTCTTAAAATCAATTACATTTAAATATCTAAACCAGCCTTTATATTAATCATCCCACACATTTTTATAGTTCTCATATCGAAAAACAAAAGAAAAAAAGATATTGCCTTACTTAGAGAGTTCATCCCTCTTAAACTAAAATCTTTCAATTTCTTCAGCCATATTCAAACAAGTGTTTAATTTTTAAATATTCCCTCTGATACACCCCATCATCTAATTCCTCAATTCTCACTTTATCCCAGCATCTCTTCCAATCAATATATCCCTTTGCATCAAAGCAGTGGTTCTCAACCTTTTTAATACCGTGACCCCAACAGGTCATAAGTCAAGGACTAAACCGGTCGTAAGTCAAGGACTAAACCGGTCGTAAGTCGAGGACTACCCAACCGGTCATAAGTCAAGGACTTTCCCTGCCCGGGAGCGCCACGCATGCGTGGTTCCGCCCCCTGCGCCGGCCGAGGCGTAGCTGGCAAGCGGCAGAGACGGAGCAAGCCGACCACCAGCTGGCCCAGCCCAAGGGAGGTAAGGCACCTGCCGGAAAAGGGGGGAAAAATGGCAGACAAAAAAAATGGCGGACAGCCTTGCTTGGCGACCCCCATGAAATGGTCGATCGACCCCAAATGGGGTCCCGACCCACAGGTTGAGAACCACTGTATCAAAGAGTCTCCATAATCTGGTAAATGTTGTGGATATAGTAGGCAAATCAAACAGCATGTCTTTGTAAAAAGAGTCATTGAATTACATTTCATATTCATTGAAGATTTCTCTCATCATCCCTTGTCTCCTCATTTCTTGTGTTACTCCCAACAACTCAGCAGTCCATTTTGTTAAATCTTTTTCCTTATCCTCAAATTTACTTTGTGATTTTAGAGTTATCTTTTCAATGTTCAATGTTTCTTGTAAGTCCTTCTCCACTTGAGTTCTCCACTAGCTTATATTCAGTTGTCTGCTTTACATGATCTCTCTCTCTTTTGTTTTCTGATCATTTGATTGTTGTGACGTTAAATTGAGAATGCATTTATTTAAATTTTCAAATTCATTTTTAATTTCCTCATGGTTTGAAGTTAATATCATTTGCATTTGTTGTAACAAAACAAACATTTCCTCCTGGTAAGTATTTTTTCTTGATATGTTCTTTCTGCAGATCTCTGATGCTCCATAATGACCAAAGGGCCTTTCTCTGCCAGTCACTTTAAAAAATATTTAAAAAATATTTATAATCCAGGAAGGTCAATTTTTTCTAAGTTTTGTAGTTCTCACTTTGTAGATAGTCCACAATGTTTTCATTTCTTTTGTAACAGCTGCTCTTCATTTAATCAACACCCTGAAGGTCATGACAACAGGCTTGTCTTTCTGGGCTGTATATTTAACGCAGTATTTTCATCCATCACTAGATGTCAGCACTTAATTCACCGCTTCTGTTTAGAGGAGGGTGGAACAAAGACACGCACACCCTCACTTTCGGAGGATTTTTACTTCTGGTTTTTTTTCTTTTTTTCTCAGGAAATCAGTCAGGTAGAAGAGAGAAAATCAATGTTCTTACCCAGTTCAGTCACACTGTTTACAATCACGCTTAGTTTAGTACTTTTTGGCTTCGGCTGCATGTAGCTTGGGCTAGACTCATGAATGACACTAGCCTTTCTTCTGTCATTTTTGGAGAGCTTTCCCCAGACGTCCGGATCGACCACCGTCTCCCCAGGATTGGCGGGACTTCCTTCCTTGCCACCTCTCCGGGGTGGCTTTGGGTCCATTTAGGGTCCCCAAACAGAAATCAGCTGTAGGGATCGGATCGTCTTGATCCCTCGGCTGGTGCGTTAGCTGCGCAGAACCAGAAGCCCTGTAAACCTTTTTTTCAGTCTTAAAACAAAAAGGATAACCTTTATGTCTGTAGCATCTAAGTGATAACAAGCAGTGTGTTAAATTGGAAACATTTCAGATCTAACAGTAGGATTAAACATGGTGCCAGCTTTAACTATTGTAATCCAGAAATCTGATACCTGATTGCTCATTTCTATATTCCTTAACCTGCCTTTCACAGAAATTAATCCATGCAATATTTGCCGATTATGCCAGAAGTCTGAAGTCTCTAGGATTTAAGCAGGCTGCTATTTTGTTTGCCACAAAAGCAGGAGTACCGGGCAAAAATCTGTTGAGTGAACTTGAACAACAGACGGAAGGGGTCAAAGAATGAGAACTTTGTAGAAGACAGCTAGAAGTTGTGATGTCTCGTGGGATAAGTCATTGGTGCAATAATACTTCAGCAACAAAGAAGGTGTTTTTTTAAAAAAAAAAACACCTATCTTGTCACAATAGAAATATAACTAAAGAATATCTTGTATTTTGTTTTAACGTTGGTAGAGACACATTTTGGTATTAAGCAATGCTATATTTGTCTTTGACTAACAACTGTGTTTGTAAAAGCTTTCAGCAACTGGATATTTATCTTCAAGCATGGTTTAAAATTTGTGAACTAGGCTCAGTCCAACATTTTTCTGCTCCTCGTGATTTAAGATTGCCTCCAGGTGTCCCCTGAAGTTGTACAAATGATACTGAAAAAAACCTTCATGGCACAAGTTCCATATTTGTATTCCATCATTCTTTGAAACCATGGCATCTTGTTTATCTTTATTGGTTTACCAAAGTGAGTAAATACACTGCTGATCCAAACTACTTATGGCAGTCAACATACAGCTATACTGATGTTTCATTGTGAAATGTGCATATGCAAAAAATTTCTCTTGCCCCAAAGTTAAACAAGTTGCATAAAACTCAGAAGGTTTCTCAAACGATCCTGGAGACTAATCACAGGTTTAAAATATACATAAAGTTGTTCAAAGTTGTACACAATACTGTAAGGCCATTTTGTAATCCCCAGACCTAACTGACCCTGCTGTTTTATTCCCAACTGAGATAAACCTTAGACAAACACTTGTACATTTTGTCCATACACTTCAACTTGTGTTTAATAGTAAAAGAAATATTGTAAACTAGGGAATTAGGGAAACGTCATGTATGAAATTTCAAGGAATCGGTTGTGCTTTTCAATAATGTAAAAAATACCTATCTAGTTCCTCAACCTGTTTCTCTCAATGGACGGCCCAAATCCTGAGGAACGTAGTACTCTCCAGTCCTGTTATTTAGAAGCATGCTGCTTCTGCTTCTGGAGTTAACTTGTCAGCATCACAGAAAGTGATTTCTGATCATTTAATTTTCCATGAACTTGTTTTATCTCCTTTAAAACTATCTAAATAGTGCTATAATAAAATAAAACCAGATTCAGATGGTTTTGACTTAGTTCCATTTAGTTTTACTCTAATAGCTGCTTAATAAACCTTTCTTTTTTAGCTTTTTAATACCAGACCTTTGTATTAGTTCTTTCATTTCATTGTTTGTGTTTAATTAGACACTTCAGAATAAATTCTAACTATAAACTGTCCCTTTTTGGTTGTCAAAACCATCTACTGTGTTGGATTATTATCTTATAAAATAAATTGATATGGTATAAATCTAGGTATCAGAATATGCTCGGTCTTTAGAGCAGAGAGAGATTACTATACAGTAGCTGTATTCATCCTAATAAGCCATTCCATAAGGGCATCATTTGAATCTGTGTTGGTAAGAATGAACCAATATAAAACGGCTTTAATACATTCTGCTTCCAAGCCCTATGAAATACACTTACTTATATGATCCTGTATTAATAGAGAGTACATTAAAACACGGCAGGCATATTTGATCTTTAAACTTGTCTACAATATTTAGCAGAATGTGCTTGTTGTTAGGCTATTGTTGCATTTCATATTTTTCAAATTTCAAATTTGCACTAGAATAGAAGCTCTGCACCTTCACACCTGACAACAGGAAGCTTGTTTAACTAGAAAAATCAGTCAATTAGTAGTGCTGTATTGAAGCAGTATTGTCAAACCAAGTTTTTACTTGGATCACAACAATCTCAGTTACGCTGCTTAATGGTACATTTGGAGCAGTGAAGAAGGAGTGAAAAGGAAAGGAAAAAGCGCAGTAATCCTTATAAGTTTTCAAAGAGAAATACTTTTACACCTGGATCTGTAAATACTTTCTGTAAACTAGGTAATCAGTTCTGGGTGTGATATAAATGCATACGACTGAGAATTCATTTTAACATTTGAAATCTCATCACTCTCTGTATATCATACAAAGCATTTCACAGATTAGTAGTGTATGTTTTTATACTTGTCATTTAACTCTGATTTAAAGAACATTGGCTTTTAAGGTTGAGAACACTTTAATCCTGATCTGTACACTATTTGAATCACAGGGGACTTTTTACTGTTTCATGTTTCTTCATTAACAAGATAGATTGGGTTAGTTAGTGATAGTGTGTAGTGAGCATGATTGAATTAAAATAGCTATTAATCACATGAAACTAAAGGTAACTGAATTTATATAAAGCATGGCTAAAAATAACTATTCAGAGGTTATTTGTGGTACCTGGGTCCATTTATACAATATTTCCAATGCAGTGATTTAGGAAAATTCAGCATAAAAGCATTCTTTTCAATTTTACAATTTTCATTATTTTCCTAGCAACATCACAAATATTTAGTAATCAGAGTGGGCATTATTTAAACAGTTGATCCATATAATGTGAAATGTCTTTGTGCATATAATTCTGCCATTACAGCATTTTAATCAGATAATTAAAATTTTAAATTGTTGCACATTTGTATGTTGCCAATCATTGCTGCGAGATGGGGAGCCATATAAATTGTTCAGATAAATAAATGCACTGCATACAGACATAATCTTGTAACTACTGCCTACTAGAAACAGGAGTCAATGCAACAGGGCAGGGGTGTCAAACTGCCGGCCCGTGGGCCGGATGCATCATAGTGAAACCGCACCCGCCCCATTGCCGACAATGGCAAAAAAGTCACAATATGTCGTGACACGTCACATGGTGTTGCGAGCTTGACACCCCTGCAATAGGGAATTAAGAACAGATTTCACTTCATTTGGAGAAAAGCAGATGAGTTTAACTACTCTCTTCTAAATCAGGCCATCACCATCACTACCTACTGTGAAGCTTTGAACTGCCTGGTCATGCTAAAAATCTGGCTAATTGCATGCACATGCTAACGAGATAATTCAAGGGTATTAACCACCTTTTCCTGACAACAGCTAGTAAAACTGTACATATTGTTATTATATAATGACATTAGTGTTGCCTTGCCTGCCTTCTACGAACTACAGTGAATTGGTGCGGGAGCCCGGTTTTCAGTTCTGAATATTACATCACAGCTGTTTCTATGTGACTTGATAAGAAGGTAAACATTACATGCGGACAAGCTCTGCATATAATGTTAATTAGGCCTTTAACAATAACCATATAATTAAATATTTGAATGAATGCCTTAGTTTCAATGAATGTTCAGATAAAGCATCCTTCATGAAGCAACAGCCGCTTCTTTTCTAAGACTTACCGTTTTGCATTATTTCGCTTTGCAGCCCCTCATAGGCTGCTCCTGCAGAGCTTGTAGTGTCTTCCAGGCTGGACACTTTCATTAAATACTATTAAATACTGCTGACACACCAAAGCAACCTACCAGAGGTCTTCCCGGGGTGCACCAAAGCTCTTCCAGGATGGATAGAATCAGAATGTGCTGAATTCCACCACATTCATTGATGCTGTCCAACTTTGAAGCATTTTGGCCAGTTCCAAGGAACTGTTTACTTAGGGGGAAAAAACTCCTTGTCCATGCAAGTCTAAATAGCCCTAATAATCAAGGTCTTGAAATACACAATAGACCTAGGTTTTAGATAAAAACGGTACACATAAAATAAGTGTAAGTAACATTCCTAGCTGTATTTTGAATAGTACTTGTTTTACTGTGAAGTGGAGCTAATGAAATTAGCTAAATGTTACAGCAGTTTTAATTAGACATAATTGTCATTCTCAAAATCTATATGATGACATTAGCACTTTTAATTGGTACTGTGATGTTTAAGATAAGCCTTACTTGTATTACATGTATCTCTTCATATGTTACTACAAGTGCAGGATATGCAGAAGTAAACCCAACTGAACATAACGGATATATTTGCAGTTATATGTGTGTAGGAATGCATCCTTATTGCATTATTTATATATTTTGTACAAGTTGGAAATTGTTTCCATCAAAATCTTGTTCCAAAATGAAAAATATTATGAAATGTTTTGTTATGTTGCAAAATAAAAATTAAAATCAATTTTTAAAGTTATATTTTCCTGTGATACTGACTTACCATAAAAAGAGCATGTCTAATTTGACTTATTCAATTTAAGTGCTACTCAACTCAAAAGTATTCTGGGCAGCTCAAAGAGTAACAAAAACAAAAAAAATACAAAACCAAACTAACAAAACAAATACAGTCAAGAGATAATGATCAAGATGGAGACTGACTAACAACAAAACTGATAGGTTCTCTATTCACCCTAGTCCAGGGGTGTCAAACATGCAACATCAAGTGAAGTGTCGCAACGTATGACTTTTTCTCCATTGCCGGCAATGGTTTGGGCACAGTTTCGGCATGACACATCCCGCAGGCCAGAAGTTTGACACCCCTGCCCTAGTCCAAGTCTGCGGAAAGAGCCTCTCTCTGATTAAAGGGATAATTTCATTCCAGATGACAGATGTCATGAGAAAAGGCCTGCCTCCTGCGTCCCAAAAAATGATACTGTTTAATTGAGAATTAAAGCATGTCAATCCTGTCAATTCATATTGCCTGCTAGATCACTCAAATAAGATTCTATGCCGTGTAGGGATTTGGTAATAAGCATACCTTGAATCACACCTGGAAATTGTTCCCATAGTGGCCAAAACAACTGCATATTGCATCTCAAACTATAAAGATCATATAGTACCACTGTGGCTACTAGTCATTAACAGTTTTATCCTTAGATGAACAATGTACCTAATTCCTTTTTGAAGTAATTTAACATGAGGATATTACAATTAGTTGACTAGTTCTATAACTATACAAATAAGCATTTTCTTTTATCTTGCTAGAATATATGCATTTTCTCTAAAATATGAACATTTATATACTACCACATCAGTGTTTGTCCAAAATAAAATGGCCCAACTAATGTAAGTCTTCCTCAGAGAGAATTGTTCCATCCCCTTAGTTATCATTTTATGCAGATTTTTTTTCAGGTTTACAGTATTAATGATAATACTGTTATTCCTATCATCTTAAATGTGGTCACCCATGTCAAATTAAATATAACGTAATAGTGGAATCTGAATTAACTATAGCATGGTATCTGTGGAATAATTCACAAAACTGAGGTTGAATTTGTCAAGGAGCTTATGCCATAAAGATTGCCGCTGATTGTGAATGTCTCACTGTTAAAGAATTGGTATAATAGAACAAATATGAAAAATAGTCACATTATTGAAGACTTCACTTTGAGGAAGTTAAAAGGGTTTGACAATTAGGAGTCAAGGACTGGGACAGAGTGGAGAATCAGCAGTTCTCCAGCTGTTGCTGTGCTTCAATTCCCTTAAAGATTTTGGGTCAAGGAGTCCAGTGATGGGCAGAATGTTATCTTTATTAAGATTTTCTTAGTCCTTTAAAAATATACTAAGCATAACGTTTTCTAAACAAACTATTAAGCCAATATATTTGCACTGTTTCCTTGTTTGCAGTTTATCTTTTTTGAATTACTATACAGTATTTTGCAATAAAATCTTGCATCTGTGCTCTAATACAAAGCAGGAATTACAAAAATTCTAAACAAATTGTAATTTAAAAAAATCAACGTATTCAGAACTTTGGGACTCTGTTCAGCTTGTTTATTTTTTCCCCTCCACATACGGACCCAGATTCCACAGCTATTTCAGTGCTGGGGTAAAACATAGGTAGAAAATATGTGGAGTAGGATGGATAAGCACTTCTGTTCACATGGCAACCTGTTAACCAGCTTCATCGATCTTTTTAATATATGTGGAACCACATGATGGTGGAATCTGCTTATCCGCCATCAAAGTCCCAGCTTCCAGAAGAAGGAAACTGGTGGGGGCCAGGAGAATCATCTCAATCTTGCTACCTCAATCTGGAATAGTTTCTACTCTCAGATTAAGTTCTTCCCAAGAATCTAGATTTCATAATGGGTTGGCATAGTACATATGCAGATCCAAGCACTGAATGTGATTTTCCAACTGCCAATTTTTTTAACCACCGGGATTAGCACACTTGGTTTATACCCTTATCTTTCAACTTGAATTTTCAGATCTTGATTATTACTATAAGTCACTTAATAGTTGATTGCAAAGAGCAAGCAGCATCCAAATGATTATAATTAAATAATTGAAATAAAATAAGGTCAACTGAAAGTATATTTCCTTTTTGCCAATGGTGAAAATAAGGGATCATTTTACATCCATGTAAAATGAAAGGATTACCAATTGAAAACACTGGCAGTACAATATACCATGTTTTCCTGAAAATAAGACCCTGTCTTATTTTTTCTTTCCCCTCCAAAAGGTACCAGTTCTTATTGTCGGGGGTGTCTTTTCCACTCACCCCATGGCGGCGGCACCAACAGCCCCACCCAGACAGCCCACTTCTTCTGTGGCCAAAGGAGCAGCTTCATTCTGCATCGAAAATAGAGCTCTAGCCTGCATTTCACAGTCAGGCCTTTCCAGAAGGCCTCTGTAGCCGAGAACCGAGTTACGGATTGACTCGTAATGCAGGCTGGAGCTCCATTCTCAGCTGCGGAATGAAGCTGCTCCTTTGGTTGCACAGGAAGTGGGTCGGCGAGGCAAGTGTCGATCCATGGGAGGCCTGGCTGCAATGGTAATTTCCACACCCCTTCCCTAGCTTGATTTTTAGGTGCCTTGCCCCCAAATTAAGGCTTATGTTGGGGGTAGCCACTCCCAAAAATCAAGCTAGGGCTTATTTCTGGGGTAGGTTTTGGAGAAACACTAGTATTTCTCATTGCCTTATATAACACCATATGCTGCTCATATCAAAATCCTTTCTGTTTCCTGATTCAGGTGCTATTCCATTAGAATATTAGTGGAAAAGGTCCTTTAACAATCCAGTTACTGAGCTGCTGAATTTGGTTCGTTCAGCAATGAACATGGCATGCCAAAATACAGGTAGTCCTCGACTTACAACAGTTTTTTTAGTGACCAAAGTTAAAATGGCACTGTAAAAAGTGACTTATGACCATTTTTCACACTTATGACCATTACAGCATCCCCATGGTCATGTGATCAAAATTCAGACGCTTGGCAACTGACTCATATTTATGACGGTTGCAGTGTCTTAGGATCATATGATCACCTTTTGCAACCTCCTGACAAGGTCAATGGGGAAGCCAGATTCACTTAACGACTGTGTTACTAGCTTAACAACTGAAGTGATTCACTTAACAAATGTGGCAAGAAAAATTGTAAAATCACTAACAAATGTCTCATTTAGCAACATATATTTTGGATTCGATTTGGCCGTAAATTGAGGTCTACCTGTAATCTTTTCTGTACTAAATACCTTATACTTTGCTTTCTGTAAAAGATGAGTTGCTGATAGGTGCAGATATCTTCCAATTTCCTCCAAATTTGTGGAAGAAAAAAGTATCATTATGAAATACAAAGATTTTTCTAAAAATGTATTGGTTAAGGTTAATAGTTCTCTCTTCTTTCAATGTAATCTCACTTTTGACAATTTATCATTCCAATGAGATATTTTGACAAGAATAAAACAGAAAAATAAAATTACCCTTTATGTTCCTGTAAAATATGAGAAAGCAATATTTCTAACCTCTTCAGTCTGAAATGTGATAAGAAGCCATTATCAAAATGTGAC